CAAAGATTCCTCTGCTTCAGCGTCTGGCTGAATATGAGCGTGCGCTCATATTCTCAGCTCGCTCAAAGATTCCTCTGCTGCAGCGTCTGGCTGAACATGCGCGTGCGCGCATGTTCTCAGCTCGCTTAAAGATTCCTCTGCTTCAGCGTCTGGCGAATATGAGCGTGCATCTCATATTCACAGCTCGCTCAAAGATTCCTCTGCTGCAGCGTCTGGCTGAACATACGCGTGCGCGCATGTTCTCAGCTCGCTCAAAGATTCCCCTGCTTCAGCGTCTAGCTGAATATGAGCACGCTCATATTCTCAGCTCACTCTGCCTAAACAAACACGGGCCCCAGCGGACGCAGCCGGCTGAGCGACTGTGCGAGAAGTCTCTCACTCATGCTCTCAGGCCCGCGCAGTACGTCCTGCTATCCCAATCGCAGGCCCGCTTTTTGGGGATTATGCACGCGAGCAAGCGCCGCGCTCAACAGCATCCCTCCCGGGCCTAGGGCGCCAAACATGCTCAATCAATAAACATGCTTAAATCTAATAAGTCTAACGGCATTTTCCTCATGGGTCTCTCCAAGGTGAAATGGAGCTTTCGCGAAAGTTCACTGTGGTAGACCCGGCTGCTGCTGCCCAGGCCACAGGCTGCTCTTCCTCGACTCATCAATACCAGCAACGCCCACATCCAGTCAACCAATAACCACCAGGACAGCAAGTTAAAAGCCGGAGACTCCCACTTCCCGGCCTTCTGAAGTCTGCAAGCCTCCGCCGCCCCACCTCCTCCTTCTCTCATCGAAGCGTGCTTGCCTACTGCCTCTGCCGTCACCAGTGCCTAGGCCCCGGGGGGGATTATGCACGCGAGCAAGCGCCGTGCTCAACAGCATCCCTCCCGGGCCTAGGGCGCCAAACATGCTCAATCAATAAACATGCTTAAATCTAATAAGTCTAACGGCATTTTCCTCATGGGTCTCTCCAAGGTGAAATGCCCTTATAGGGAAATTGGTTCCAGCTAGCTTATGTTCAAATCGGTAAACACAGTCCACTCCAATAATTCACAATAGACAACAAAGAACTGAAAGACAATAACAATAATATTAATAATAATAATTGACACTTTTGAAATAACATTGGAACAGTTTGGGAATTTTGACACTTTTTTGACCCATGTTTTTTACCAAACTCTAATGAAACACAGCCTGAATGCAATAATCAAATAGTTACCATATTTTTTTGTTTAGAATAAACTATTGTTTTTAATCTTGTACATAAAAACACACATCAGACAGAGGGGGAGGTCAATAATCATAATTTTAACTGTAATTTCAAATTTAAAGGGCCTTGATCGCTACGATGCAAAAATGACAAAGTAAAATGTCAGTGTTTCCCAATATCCTGTAATTAACCGTGTAACGTCAGCATTATGAATTATCTGATCTGGGTCATTTCCCTTTTTCTTCATTGTGAGAAATGATGGAAAACAAGAGGCCAAAGCCAGATGGACCGTAGCCCACGGGAACAGAGGAGATAAGACTGAGACGGTGAGCAGCAACCGGCCGATAATACGATCAGAATCTTTATGGCCATTTTTCAGGAGCATTTTTGGCCAAACCAGACACAAGATAATAAGAGACCAAAGGAAATGCTTGGCTCCTGTGTTGTCATAGTAGCAGACTAAAAACTCCACCAAAAATATGCAATAAGTATTAAAACCTGGCCTGGATTTACCATGTGTAAACTCTGGTCCATGATCATTTCCTACATGTACGTCTGGGTCTGATCCTAGTGGCTGCAGTTTCCTCGGATGAATCCCCTCCGACCAATCAGAGAGCGGGGGAGGAGGGTGTTGTAGGTCGGTGTCAGTGACGTCAAGCGTTTGTGCTGAATTTGCTGGTTGTAGTTTGTCGGAGAATGCGATAGTAAAATAATCTGTTCTGGTTCAATCCAAATATCAAGAAACTGAAGCCGGAGCAAGAGGAATGTTTAGTAAATGTCATTGAAGCAAAGATGTTGTGGCTCTACTCCCCACGGGCTTCGTTAGTGGCAAAGGAGATGGCTAAAGCTAGGCTACATGCTAAAGCTAGGCTAAATGCTAAAGGCCTCACTCACTCAGGCTCATTACATACGTCACAGTAAATTCAGATCCAATGGTTTCAATCTGCAAAAGGAGTTAACCCCTCCCACCTGTTAACGGAGTCAATGGAGCAAATCCTGACCATAGTACAAATGAAATGAGTACAATGGTGTGGTAAGACCAGGGTAGCTAAAACAGGGCGTGGCAGTAGTTTTGACTGCCACGCACAAAACAGCGATATCCAAATTAGTTCCCCTGTAGAAAGACGTTGCCAATGAATAATCCCGATACATGCTTAAACTGTAATAATAGTTTTCCCAATTAAATTAGACGGCGACAATTTTGCTTTTCATATTTAAAAAATCTGTTTTTTTAACAGATTTCTAGCATCTGTTCGGATCCAAAGTTGAGGGCCGTGTTAATCACAATTTGCCTCGGCGTATGTGGGATTTCTAAAATGACACAATAAAGTGATTAGATCTAATTAGCGTTGATCAGGCGCCAGATGCTGCGGCGAGAGTTAACGGGATTTTACACAAACTCAGATTATCATGTTCAGTCTAATGGTGTTTGCTACAGTAGGAGAGGGGTTCTACGCCCTGTGTTTGTGCAAAAGGGGAATTTACTGTATGTTTTTTATTCTACTTGTATGTAGATGGACTGGGAATTGGATTGAGGAGAAGAAAATGGATGGATGGATGTGTATAAGAAAAGGCTCATGTTTTATGTTTTAACCTCATTAACTTCAAACTGACTCAACATGAGCTGTAGCGAAGATGGACCCTATGGTGAACGACAAAAAAAATGAAAAAACGTTTCAACAGAATGTGCCTAATCTATTTACCGCATTGGATTATGTGTCCAAAAACACTCAATCTGCACAGATGGAGGCTAACCCACTAGCTAGCTCAATGAACCCAGGAAGTGCACATATACATACGTTTTTCTCCTACTTGCTCTGGCTCCTGTTTACTTTACTGACATTGAAAAATAAACTCCTCTCTCTCAGTAACCGTTCTCAGTAATCTCCGGTGTAGCGCCATCTTTGCTAATGATGTTTTTTATTTCGATATTTGTAAACTGTCTTTACAAATATAATTCCTGATATGAGCCATAAGGATTGACCAATCAGATGTCTTCACTCGAGGGGGAAACTCCAGCTTGCCTTGGCAACCGTCTTAGCAACATGTCTGCCCCTGTTTCGGCACAAAGCTAACAGCTAACCCCGTCCAAATACATGGCCATATAAGGAAATTGGCTCCTGCTTGCTTATGTTCAAATCGGCTTCCTCTGTATTTAGTAAACACAGTCACAATAAAAGGGAGAATATGGATGGATGGATGTGTATAATTAAAGAATATACTGTTTTAACCTCATTGACTTCAAACTGAATCGACATGAGCTGTAGCGAAGATGGACTTTATGGTGAACAACAAAAAATATATACTGTTCAACATAATGGAGACTTTGACCGAACAGTACAGTCTATTAAAGGGTAAACACTGTTATAGGCATAAACTTTATCGAGATGTTAACCAGCAAGAAGGCCCGGGTTGGATTCCACCTCCAGGCCTTTCCATGTGGAGTTTGCATGTTCTTTGCTGAACTTGTTGGACTCTGTCTGTCAGCTGGACTGGGATTCCCCCACGAGAGCTGGAGGAAGTGTGGGAAGAAAATGGATGGAGGGAAATCTGCAATAGTCCTTCATTCAATTAATTTACATTTTTTCTTGTCGCAATGGTAGTTTTCTCAGTGGACTATAAAAAATCTTTGAATTAACCATCAACAGATTAGAGAATCAAACAGTTACGATAAAAAACACATAGAGCCATTGGTCCATACATGTTGAATGTTGAGGGTCCTATTCATGTACGTATTTGTATTGTTCCTTCTACTGCGTTGATTAAATTCAGATATTACCTTTAAAAACAAACCATTTGGGGTTAAAAAGAAGAAAAAAAAAATCTGTGTTTTCTCTGTGTCTGTAGCTAATGTTCCAACACAAACCAATAGCACTAACTGTTATTCCTTGTTTGTGCTGAGATCTAATTACCCCACAGGTCGTGCTCTTATGGTCGTGCTCTTACGGTTGTGCTGGGGCGCAGTTCCCCGGTCATCCCCCGGGGGCATTAGCGAGGTCATAAACTCTAAACAGACATTTGAACTCGGAGACCTCTCAGACTGGTCTTCCCTTCGGCTTGACCCTCAGGCAGCTCCGTCCACACAGAGCTTTGCCGAAATATGCTAACAATACTGTTTTTAGATCAGCAGAAGCCAGGTGTTATTTAGAATCTAATTATTATTATTTCACTGCAAAATGTGACCAAAATAGGTCAAAAATTGCCAAAATTTGGAAAATTGTGTCTTGATTTGAGCATATTCTGACTTCCTTTGAACAAGATTTACCCATAGGACAAAGTAGAATTATCTTGTCTTTTAATTGTCTTTTTTGGAATGAAAACAAAAATGCAACAGTTCTCAAAGATTTAGACTTTGACTTTATTGAGCCACAGGGATATAGCGTTGTCCCAGTGGCTCACATAGTATTTCACAAGAAAAAATAAAAATAACATTCATAACAATCTAAAAATGATAATAATAATACAATAAGATAATATTGTGAGAAAAAAAGTGAGAGTAAAGGACTTTGTTGGAAAGTGCGAATATCAAAGTCCTAGAGTAATGTCTTTATCTGGAAATATTCTCGGAAATTGCCACCGTTTGTTACCTTGAATTTCTCACTCAATTTTTTTTATTCAACCAAAAGTCCTGCAGAGTCTGAGCCAATCCGGAGGCAGCAGTGAAGCAGAAGAAGAGCGTTTAAAAACCTCACATTGATTAGATCCATCTCCACAGATTCTTCTCAAACCTCCTCCTTTTCCCTTCTTTTGCCTGAGCCACAAATGTGGTTCATGCTGCGTTCAAAGACAGTGGGACGTCATTAACGCTGCACGATGGGCCGCTTAATGTAATTAACTGAAAGACAGAGAGACGGTAGGTGAGGGGGAGAGACCGGAGGTGAGGGGGAGAGAGACGGGAGGTGAGGGGGACAGAGACGGGAGGTGAGGGGGACAGAGACGGGAGGTGAGGGGGAGAGAGACGGGAGGTGAGGGGGAGAGAGACGGAAGGTGAGGGGGAGAGAGAGGGGAGGTGAGGGGGGGAGAGACGGGAGGTGAGAGGGAGAGAGACGGGAGGTGAGGGGGATAGAGACGGGAGGTGAGAGGGAGAGAGACGGGAGGTGAGAGGGAGAGAGACGGGAGGTGAGGGGGAGAGAGACGGGAGGTGAGGGGGAGAGAGAGGGGAGGTGAGGGGGGGAGAGACGGGAGGTGAGAGGGAGAGAGACGGGAGGTGAGGGGGATAGAGACGGGAGGTGAGAGGGAGAGAGACGGGAGGTGAGGGGGATAGAGACGGGAGGTGAGAGGGAGAGAGACGGGAGGTGAGGGGGAGAGAGACGGGAGGTGAGGGGGATAGAGACGGGAGGTGAGAGGGAGAGAGACGGGAGGTGAGAGGGAGAGAGACGGGAGGTGAGGGGGAGAGAGACGGGAGGTGAGGGGGAGAGAGACGGGTGGTTAATTGCTCCGCCCTTTAACATCATGTTGTGAGAGGGTTGTAATTAAAACTCAACATGTGACGACAAAACATGAGAGAGAGAGAGAAGAGTGAGTGAGATTTCTAATAAACAGAGAGAGAGGAAGAGAGCAGGAGGGAGAGGAAGAGAGAGAGACAGACAGAGAGAGAGAGGAAGAGAGCGGAAGGGAGAGGAAGAGAGGAGGAGGTTTAAGTTTCCTCGTCCTAAAAACAACACCCAAACAAAGTGACATGCTAATGAGGTAGAATTGTTAGACCTGCACTCCACCCGAGCTCTCAGCAGACAATAGGTCGTTAGACCTAACATGGCCGCCAGGCGTAACAGGATCGTTGGACCTAACATGGCCGCCAGGCGTAACAGGATCGTTGGACCTAACATGGGCGGCAGGCGTAACAGGATCGTTGGACCTAACATGGCCGCCAGGCGTAACTGGATCGTTGGACCTAACATGGCCGCCAGGCGTAACAGGATCGTTGGACCTAACATGGCCGCCAGGCGTAACTGGATCGTTGGACCTAACATGGCCGCCAGGCGTAACTGGACGGTTGGACCTAACATGGGCGCCAGGCGTAACAGGATCGTTGGACCTAACATGGCCGCCAGGCGTAACAGGATCGTTGGACCTAACATGGGCGGCAGGGGTAACAGGATCGTTGGACCTAACGTGGCCACAATGTTGTAATTGCTGCAAATGGTGGATTCTTTGACGAAAGCAAAGTTGGATGTAAAACAAATCTTATTTAAAAAACAAATCATTATTTCTAACCTTGTCAATGTCTTGACTCTTTTTTCTATTCATTTCACAACGTATGGTGATGAATAAGTGTGACTTTTCATGGAAAACACTTGGGTGACCCCAAACTTTTGAACGGTAGTGTACGTAGATCCAGGTAGAGGGGGAGGAAATCATCTTCATCTCATCCTCAATAGTTCTGAGATCTTCAAAACGTCTTGAAAACTCACCACGCAACGCTGCTTACATAGATGAGTACCTGCAGAGATGATCAGCTGATGGTGTGACTCCTTTCAGTGTTTGCATAGGAGTGAGGGAGTTGTTCTCCAGTTGACTTGAAAGAAATGTCATCTTACTCATGAAAGCTTTCACCAGGCTGTACATTTCATGAACAAAAAGGCCCTTTCTTTGCAGTTTTGTGTTCAGATCATTAATCAGTGCTGTCACATCAACAGAAAATGCCAAATATGTGATCCATTTCTCATCTGAGAGTTCTGGGAAATCTTTGCCTTTCACAAAACTCTAAAACCTCTGCTTTCAGGTCCCAAACTCTTTTTAACACTTTACCCAGGCTGAGCCACCTTACAGTTGTGTGGTAGACAATGTCATTATGCTCAGTGTCTCGCTCCTCCAAAAGTGCAACAAACTGTCTGTGATTCAATGTCCGTGCCCCGATGAAGTTTACTATTTTAGTAACAACATTAATAACATGGTTAATTTTTAACACTGACTTGCACAAAACATGTTGGTGTATAATACAATGCAAAAATATAACTTTCTGATCATTTTTCCCTGTAAGATTTGGACAACCATCTGTTGTGACACCTGCCAGTCTCTCCCATTTCAATCCCAGTGTGTCCATGCACGCATTTACCTCCGTGAACAGATCAGCCCCTGTTGTGGTCCCTTTCATCGGCCGCACTGCTGCCAGCTCCTCCGTAATCTTGAAGCCGGTTCTACGTCATGGTGCTACGTCCCTTAGGACTTCGCTAGTGGGATATCACTCGTGACCCCCAGGTCACACGCCAGAGAGATCAAAATAATTTGCTCCAATCACCAGCCACCCTCCTCTATAAATGCCCCTGCACAAGGCCGCACCCCCTCTTTCACTCTGGCGCCGTTTGAGATCTACCACAGTACTTACTTCATTCTGAGATGTCTTCCTTGTTCGTCCGAGTTCCCTTCGCCCTCAAGGCGTCGGACGTGGTCGCTGGATCCAGACGGTGGAGGACTTCACCTCTGTGGGTGCCACCACTCGAGGAAGGAGGAGGATGCAACCCACGTTGTGCCCGCGGATGGACCCGTTCGTCCATTACGCGACACGTGAGTGGCCAAAGCCCCCAGCAGCCAAGAGGCCTGCTCTGGGGTACGACATGTACTGCAGCGGGCAGGACTGGTCCTGGACCGGTGGTGTCCCGGACATCGAGGATTCAGTCCGCATGGCCCTGCAGCCCTCCGCATCCGTGTGGCCCGGCACCAGACCTCTCCTTCCCTCCGAGCGGGACAGGATGTCTTGCCGATGCTGGATAGATATTAGGCCAATGCGGCACAGGTCGTCACATTGGCTAACTACATGACTTTTCATCACGGGGGCCCTGGATAGGTCGCTCTCCTCTGGCCAGGCACTCAGTGGAGACCTCCTGTCACAGGCGAGGACCACCTCGGCGGCGATCCTGCGCATGTGCCAGACGCTAGCCGTGGATGGTGGCCCGGACACCGAGGATTCAGTCCGCATGGCCCTGCAGCCCTCCGCATCCGTGTGGCCCGGCACCAGACCTCTCCTTCCCTCCGAGCGGGACAGGATGTCTTTGGCTATGCTGGATAGATGTTATGCCAATGCAGCACAGGTCCTCGCATTGACTAACAACATGGCATTCATCACGGGGGCCCTGGATATGTCGCTCTCTTCTGGCCAGGCGCTCAGTGGAGACCTCCTGTCACAGGCGAGGACCACCTCGGCGGCGACTCTGCGCATGTGCCAGACGCTAGCTGTGGATGGTGGCCGCTCCATGGCAGCAGCCCAAGTTGGGGCCAGGCACCTTTGGCTTGGGCTGGCTAATATCAGGGAGGCGGAGAGGAGGCAGCTGCTGGACCTGCCTATCTCCCAGACGTCCCTTTTCGGTCCGGACATGCAGACCCTGGTGGCTAGACTGGAGACCGCAGCCAAGGACTCGGCTAGCCTAGCCCAGCACCTAGCGCCGAGGCGCGAGGCCCGCCCATCAGCGCGGAGCCGAGACAGAGGCAGGGAGCGTTCGCCCGGGAGGCGCCCTGGCCCATATCCACGCTCCATGACCTATGGTCCCCCCTCGACGAGGCCCCCGGGTCCAGACAGACACACGGGAGGCTCGCGGGACCAACGCACCCACCGCCGACCTCCCTATGGCAGAGGAGGTCGGGGTGGGAAGAATTCTTTCAATAAAAGCCGACCGGCATTTCATCAGTACTCGCTGTCTGAGTCTCATTTGGGGGTATGTAACATGTCAAATGGTCTGAATTCTGATTGTGTTACTTATCGAGCACATAACGTGGCTTCGCTAGGCCTGCAGCCCCCAGAGAAGGGTGTGCAGTGCGCTACGCGAGCCACGAGCTCCGATTCACGGGTTCATGCTATGCCCTCCCAGAGAGAGGTCAGGCGGAGGGATCTGGTGAGTAATGATGTGTGTGCTTCGGCCGAACGCGTGTTAGCATCTTTGAGCTACAAGGCTAACACGGGGTTTCCCACTCCAGGGGCTCGTCCCCCCCTCCATGAGGCAAGAGCCAGGGGGGGGCACAGCAGCCGAGTCACGTGTGGTGAGCAGTCCCGTACTTATGACGTCGGGCCTGCAGAACACGTGACCGCCCCCGGCGCTCACGGTGTGACGCAGGGGGCCCCCCAGCCCTTTCGGCCACCCCCCCTCCCTGCTAGGAACACCAGGAGAGGGTGGGGCCGTGACGTCTCGTGTTCCAGCCCCTCACAGACTTCTACAGCATCTGGAGGGAGCAGGGTTTGCTGACAGATATATGGCTGGAGGAAACATTGCGCAGGGGTTACGCACTGCAATTCTTCCGAAAGCCACCACCATTCCGAGGCGTACGGGCAGTACGCTCTCAGGTACGGGGATCAATAGAGGCACTGCAAGCGGAGGTCTCCTCTCTGCTGAGTCGAGGCGCAGCAGTGGAGGTAGACCCGCAGGACGCCACCAGGGGGCTGTACTCCCCTTACTTCTTAGTGCCAAAGAAGTCAGGCGGGGTGCGTCCCATTCTGGATCTGCGCGTGTTGAACGAGTGCATTTCCAAACGGCAGTTTCGGATGCTGTCCACAAAGCAGCTCCTCGAGTGTGTCAGGGAGGGAGACTGGATGACATCCATAGACCTGACAGATGCGTACTTCCACGTGCCCATAGTGCCAGAACACAGGAGGTTTCTGCGCTTCGCAGTGGGAGAGAGGAATTACGAGTACTGCCGTCTTCCCTTCGGTTATGCACTCGCGCCTCGGACTTTTCCCAAATGCGTGGAAGCGGCACTGGAGCCGCTCAGACGCGCAGGGGTAAGAATTTTAACCTACATAGACGACTGGTTAATTCTGGCATCATCCAGGGAAGTGGCCGTGAGTCACACGCACTGGGTCCTGTCCCACATACAGCGCCTGGGCTTTGTGGTGAACAGGGAGAAAATTAATAGTTACCCAATGTAACTTAATTTCTACGAATAGGTGCACGTGTTATCCCACTAGCGAAGTCCGCTAAGGGACGTAGCACCATGACGTAGAAGCAGGCTGCAACCGGCTCAGCGCATGATCTATCTCGGCCTGCAGCTAGACTCTGTGACATTCCGTGCTGCATTGTCCGTGGACAGACGGATGAACACTACCCGTCTGCCCAGGGAGGTTCTGGCGGGCCCCAGAGTCCCCGCTCGGCGCCTCAGGTCCCTGCTGGGAATGATGGCGGCGGCTCATGCTGTGGTGCGGCTAGGCCTTCTCCACATGAGGAATTTTCAGAGGTGGTTCTCACGCCTCAGGCTTCACCCCTCCTGGGACGGGGGGAGGCTGATCTGGGTTCCCCAAGTGGCAGCATCGAACATCAGGTTCTGGCTCACTCCGGGTCTATTGCGGGACGGAGTGACTCTGGCCTGCGCCGCGTCTCACGTGGAGGTGTTCACGGACGCGTCGCTCGAAGGATGGGGCGGGGTCCTTGGCCAGAGTTCTGTAGGAGACTGCTGGTTGGACTCAGCCCGTCACATCAACCTGCTGGAGATGGAGGCAGTGCACAGGGTACTGCTGCACTTTGCTCCTCAGCTGCAGGGGAGACACGTGATGGTGCGCTCAGACAACACCACAGTGGTCTCCTATCTGAACAGGCAGGGGGGCACCAGGTCCCCCGCTCTCCATCGCATGGCGACGGTGACGCTGCTGTGGGCGGCGCTTCACCTCCTGTCTCTCAGGGCGCGCCACGTCCCGGGGGTCCGGAACGTGGGGGCCGACATGATGTCCAGGGGGGGGCCCACTCCAGGACGAGTGGGGCCTGGCCCCACGGGTAGCTGCGGAGATCTGGCGGAGGTTCGGCCGTCCAGTGGTCGACCTTTTCGCCAGTGCAGGAAACGCACAATGCCCGTCCTGGTTCGCCTCAAGGGCCGCGGACGAGCCGCCCTTAGGCGTGGACGCTCTGGCTCATTACCCCTGGCCAGGGGGCCTGCTGTACGCTTTTCCCACCAGTGCGTCTCCTGCCGGTCCTGCTGCGGAGGATCGAACAGGAGAGGAGGTCGTGATCCTGGTGGCGCCGGTCAGTCCGCATGCCCGGTGGTCCCCCTTCCTGAGGGGCATGGCGGTGATGGAGGCCCCGGTGGGCTTCAGGTCGCATTCCACGCGTGGGATGGCGGCCTCTACGGCCCTTCTCAGGGGGGTGTCGGTCGAGGACGTCTGCCGTGCGGCTTCTTGGGCGTCGTCCTCCTCTTTCGTCCGGTCTTATCTTTTG